CAAATAAAAACTGGATAGCGGGATAAGGAGTACAAGTAAGACTTTACCTTTGCATCCTACTTTTACTGTTTGAATTTCATTACAATGTCATATACTCCACAATCACATTTTAAGATTCAACATTTTTATCATTATGCACTTATAATTGCATAATTTAAAATTTTTTTAAGTTTAAATTCAAGGCAAAAAGAAAGTTTGGCAATTATGACTTTAATGTCATGTGGGAAAAAAAGTATCAAGACTAAATCATGTTTAATATAAGTATCTAATTTCACAACTCCTAATATAACATGAACTCATGAACTCAAAAGCATTATCTCTGCTTAGAAGACTACAAAAATTGTGCTTTAAAATTAATAAAGAGGCACCTGACCTTTGAGCTTCTGTAGACAAGAAAGGAGAAAAAAAAATCTTAGAAATCATATGAGTACATGCACCAAAGAATACAAAAAACACTGGTCTTCATTCTTAGGTTAGCCTCCAAAGGAATAATAGTAGCTAACATTTACTGAACATTTCCTATGTGCTAACTACCAAGCTAACAACGATCCCAGCAATTCAATGAGGTCAACGCTACTGCTTTCCAAACACCACAGATAAAACTGAACCTTAAAGAAGTTAGGTCATTTTCCCAGGACCACATGCAAGCAAGTGCCAAAGCAAAGGTACAAGGTTGGATCTGACATGAAATACGTTATTTTAACAACTATAACCACGCTGCCTTTCCTACTGTTGCAAGGTAATGGGATAAACTCCAAGTTAAACACCAGAAATTTCTCCTGTGGTCAGCTACTGGTAGGTCTGAACTCCCTTACCCTGTCGCATGCTTTGATAAGAGAAGACAGGTCAAATTAACATCCTTTATAATTTGGTCCAAATTTCACTTTATCTTGCACATATTGTTTGAAAAATTCCTTGACACAGAACTGTGAACATTCCCTAATCTCAGTAAAAATAAAGTTTCCTTTTCTGTCCTTTTAATGCTATTCCTTTTTTATTAGTTCTAAGAATCAGGAAAGTAACAACATATTCTTTCTCTGTCATGATTTCTGGACTCCAGACAGACTGGTAGCCAACACAATTGGAGGCAGAGAAACTCATTAGAGGCCTCTGCAATACTGCAGGTGTTCAGGGCTTCAGCATGTCTAAGTAAAAGTTATTTTTTTAAAAAAAAAAAAGAAGAAAAGTTGTTGGTTCACAATAAGTAAGAGTGAGAGATGACTACCAGGATGTGAAGTACGGAAGAGGAAGGAAGTAGTCAAGAACGTAGTTGGGGCATGCCATTTATAATTCTGCATACCTTCCTCCCAACATGATAGGTATTTGAAGATTTGCTGAATTGATGATCTACTGAATTAAAGATTTGCTAGTGTGAGCATGGATAGGTTCTATAAATTAAGAGACATGGAAAACGAATGATATGAGCTTAAAAGCCCAGAATCTGAAAGAAAATACCTAAGACCACCAAGTCTTTAAAATAAAAACAGAAAACAAGGCTATTACTCAAAGTGTACTCTTCAGGAAGCTGATCTTGACTGACCTCACATGATCGATCATATGACACTAAATAAGGTGAGGAGAGCTGACAGGTCTCTTTTGAAATTCTTCATGGCTAGCTTCAACATGCTTGAGTATCATTTCACTAAAAACTTTTTAAATATATCTTTTAATATTTTATTTAAACACCTATATAGTATTTAGTATGTAATTTTTAAATTCTGAATTAAAAGCTTAGGATTTGTAAGAACAGCACAAAGAACTCCTTCCTTTACATCCTTCATCCAGATTTACCAAGTGTTAACATTTTGCTCCATTTCCTTTATCACTCTTTCTATTTTCCCTAAACTTTTTAAAAGTCACAGACACACCCTTTCACTCCTAAACACTTCAAGATATACTTCCTAAGAGCAAAGATATTTACTTACACAATCACAGAGCAAATTATAAAAATTAGGAAACTTAATACTGAAAAAAATACAATTACCTAATTTACAGACCTTGATTGTTGCCAATTCTCCCAATAACATCCTTTTTAGCAACTTTTTTCTGGTCCAGGATCTAATCTAATATCATATTATGCATTTTGTTTTCATGACTCTCTAATATATTAATCTAGAAGAGATAGTTTCTCAGCCTTTGTCTTTTATGACACGAACACATTTGTAAATTACAAGTCAGCTGTTTCACAGCACGATCCTCCATTGGGGTATGCCTGCTATTTATCCTCCTCAGTGCATCACCCTGGGAAGTACGGCATATCAGCAAGTCCCATTACTAGCAATACTAAACTTGATCACTTGGGTATGGGGTTGTTTCTTCACTGTGATTAATAAATAATTTATGAGGAAATACTTTTAGACTATGTAAATATCCTATTCCTCATACAACATTCACTCCCTAGTTTTAGCTAGTGATGATTCTTGCCTGAATCAGTTATGGTGATATGTGCAAAATGATTTTTATAACTCTTTCATCCTTGCAAATTTACTAATTGACATTCTATGGTAAGCAGACGTTTTTCTTTACACCCTATGTATTTACCTACTGAGTATGGATTCTTATTTAATTCGATAGGTTTATAATCCATGTTATTTTGATATATAGTAGCACCAGATACGTTAAGTGGGAGCTCCTTCAAGCTGACTCACATGTCCTTCTGACATATCCCCACCATTTGTCTGAGCACTTCTTGGCTTTCTGGCATAAGATGTTCCATTTTGTAATTTTCTCCGTACCACCCCCAGAATCAGTCATTTTTCTAAGTGCTGAGCCTTTTCAGAAGGAGATGGTTTTTAGAAACCAATATCTGGGTCTCAAGATATGCTCATTGCTAATGGCATACAACTGCTTCTAGGCCTTTTCAGCAAAAAGAGCTAGAAGATATATTTTTATCAGTTCTATTTTTAAAAATTAGATCCAACTTAAGAAAAACAATACATTTTCCACTACAGCATTTGGGCAGCACATATCTTACAGAAACATCCAAACAAAAAACTGTATGGTGAAATGCTTGTAATTATTGGCTAACTTTTTCTTTTAAAATTGGTACAAATTTTTGTTCTGTTACACAGGTTAATCATATAACTTTTTCAATTTTATGAAAACAAAGCACAAATAAAACTGTAATTTAACCACTTCTGATATATAAGTCAAAGCTAGAAGAAACTCTTTTCTGGTATAAAGAGGATTTAACAAAGACCAAGAATAATTAATATTTGAAAAATAATACAGAGGGCTTTAAGCCATTTTTTTCCTAAGATTATAAAATATACTAAAATTACCAAGTTGATCAGAGGAAAGAAATTAAATGAATTAATTTTAAAATACTAATTCCTTTGACTTCCTTCACCCCCAAATGTACTGGAATTTTCTAAGGATGTGAGAATTCTTGAAAAAAAACTACTCTACCATTTCCACTTAACACAAGTAGTTGGATCAATAATTTTGTGTGGAAAAGGAGAAAGTGGGCTATTGATATGGACCTATACAAATGCTTGTATGCTTGCACATGACTGCACATCTAATCTAGACAGGTTGATAATAAGCAAGTCAGTGGACAGAACACACGCTCAAAGTGTTGTTGTTGTTGTTTGGTTTCCCAGATCTGTTCCTCAGGTTATTAAATTTTATCACAGACTTGCTTAAGTCATCATTTACCTAACTAGCATTTATTAACTATCTACTTTATTTCCAGAGCTGAGCTAGGTGTTCCCTACAAATATATCTCCTCTTTGGCCTTACCCACAAGTCCTTCAATGTTTCTTTTTACTCACTCTGCCACCTCTTCTGCTTCACTCCACCTGTTCCCTACCCTCTGCAGACCTCACAGTACAGTACAACATTTCAGCCACCCTCGTGGCAGAATCCTCAGGGTATTTCTGCATGATGAGACTCAATGTTATGCTTTTTTATAAGAACACTTGTTCTTCAGGTACACCACTTTGTAAACTGCCAATATGGAAGGTTAGCTAAGAATTTCCCAGCAACATTAGATGTCTGAAGCTCTCACACCACTAATTATACTCTCCTATCTTTAATATCTCTTTCAGTCTATGGAAGTGCTCACGTATCTTGCATATAAAAAAAAAAGAAGCTTCTAGAAGAAAAGCTTTTCTTCCCACTGCAATCTGGATGTTATCCTGGAACTTCTCCCTCTTCCTTGCGCAAACAAGTTATTAATTGATGGTTACTCTTCCCTGTGTTGTTGAATTATCCCTCATTCCAATTGCTTGTATGTCCTAACTCATTTCCTTGCCTCTAATCTCCCCTTCAAATCCTACCTTTTCCCACCTATCTCTCTACATACTGCTACCAGAATACTCTTTATAAAACCCAAAAGATATCACATTTCTCCCATGCTTAAATGACTTCTCAGTGTGTAAAAATTAAAACCCAAGTCTTCATCATAAAATAGCCATGTATTATCTATCTCACCCCGTCCACCTGCTATTACAGAAATCGTCATCCCCCTTGAGCCACCCACACTGTTTTGTAACATAAGCTCCAATCTTTATGAATGATTCATAAATCCCAGAACCCTCCAATCTTTATGAATGATACATAAATCCCAGATGTTGACTGTAACTGTCCTGTGCTTATACTGCTCCAGCCTCTGGAGTCCTGAGTCTCCACTTGAGTCTTATCTGGCAAGGTATAGCGAAACATCTCTTTCTCTTTTAAATGTTCTTCACCCATATGAGTAGAGCCCATCAGTCCTTCTACAAGAGCACACCATGTGTGTCTATCTCTATTATAGCATGTCACACTTTAATGTAATTAACTGTTAACATCTGTCTTCCACTCTAAACCGTGAGTTCCTTGAAGTCAATAGTTGCTTTAATCCATCACTATATTCTCTATGCCTATCACTCCTAATAGATGTTCAGTGAATACTGTTAAGTTAAATTAAAAAGTAGAATGCAAAAAAAATCTTTAATAAAAATAAAAAGCAAAATGCAAAGTGAGATGATAACATAAACCTGACTACTAAACATCCTTACCTGGTAACTAACTATTTTCTTTCCGTCGCTTCTAGTCTGAGGTAAGGTCAAAGGCCCAGATACCACCCAAACATCTTCAAACCTTTCCGTCAGCTCTCGACAGTACATTTCTATTCTGAAAAACAAATTTTAAAAAGTATGATATTCTCACATATGTACACAAGACAGCAGCAAATCATATCAATCCCTATGCAAGATGCCAAGAAAAACTGCACTTGAGAAATCAACTTAAACAAGAATATGGCACAAAACATTATAAGCATATACACAATGATGTTCCCAGTTTGCTTACTGCACAGAAAAAACTTTAAAATCACACACACTAACAAAACTACAAGATATTTTTCTTTACATGCAGAGTACATTCTGGAATTCGAATTTCATGAACTTTAAACTTTTTTTTATGCCATAGTTCGCAACCAGCTTTCAAGAAGTATTTATCAATCCAACAAGATGATACGCTTTATTCAACCACTCCTCTCACAGAACAACTGGGCTTATGTTAACATTTCTTACATAATGCAACACTCTATTAATTCCTTAGGATAAATTTCAAGGACCAGAATTACTGAATGAATTTATTTTAAAGACTTGTCACTGTATGTAAAACTAACATTTTTAATAGGGTTATATCAATTTACTCAAAAATCCAAATTACACCACAACAGTTTCACAACAATCTTTATAACGCTGGGATTTATCATTTTAAAGCTGTTTTTGTCAATGCACCAGATAAAAATGGCAAGTAATGTTTTGGTTTTTTTCCCTTTTTTTCTTTTTTTGAGACAGAGTCTCGCTCTGTTCCCAGGTTGGAGTGCAGTGGTGCAATCTCGGCTCACTGCAACCTCTGCCTCCCAGGTTCAAGTGATTCTCCTGCCCCAGCCTCCTGAGTAGCTGGGATTACAGGCACCTGAATGGCAAGTAATTTTAATATGTACTTTCTTACACTGCAGTTGGGAGAGATTTTTTTTTTTTTTTTGAGATGGAGTCTCACTCTGTCACCCAGGCTTGGCTCACTGCAACCTTCGTCTCCTGGGTTCAAGTAATTCTCCTGCCTCAGCCTCCCAAGTAGCTGGGATTACAGGCACACATTACCACACCCAGCTAATGTTTTTGGAATTTTTAGTAGAGACACGGTTTCGCCATGTTGCCCAGACTGGTCTCTAACTCCTGATCTCAAGCAATCTGCCCACCTCGGCCTCCCAAAGTGCTGGGATTACAGGCATGAGCCATTGCACCTAGCCCAGTCGGAAGAGATTTCTAAATGATAGCAATGCATGTCCTCATTCCTCAGTTTCTTATCTAAAAAGTAAAATCTAATTATTTTTATAGGCTGGTGTAAGTGCAATGGTGTTTACAACTAATTCTTCACAACCAGTTACATACTTCTTTGTTCCTTCACTACTCCCACTGCTTAACTTGACTGGCCTTAAAAATATACTTTTTAAACTATTTTTATAGCATATGTATCTATATGCCCAATTACAAGGTAAAGTTTTCCTCCCAGAAATTTATCTCTTGGGAAAAGAAAATGTTAAATGCCTCCACAGGTATGTGATCAGCAAATCCAGAATATGGAAAGGAAACTCTAGGATGAATATCCTAGATCCTCAACAAATAATTTGAATGGAAAAAAAAAAAAAAAAAAAAAAAGGAAAAAAAATAAAAAAAAAAAAAAAAAAAAACAAGTCATATAAATGGAAAAAAAAAAAAAAGAAAGAAAGGAAAACCTACAGATAACACCAATTGAAGAGAGGTATCAATCAAATTTATATGTCTATCTTGTTTGAATCCTGCTTCAAACCAACCAGCAACAACAAAAAATTAAAGACAACCACGGAAATGTGAGCACTGACTATGAAATTGGTAATAAAGAATTACTGTTAAATTCTTTAGGGGCATTAATAGTACCGTGGTTACATTTTAGTAGGTGAAACAAATGTGGCCGTGACTGACAACTGCTGAAGTCTCTCTCTGGTGCAGGGTGCTCTCTTAATCATTTTAAATCACAAAGTACTATATGGGGAAAAACAATCGCCTGAAAGAACCTCAAACTGTTAGTTTTAGATGCATAAAGAGACCACCTAACAGTGCCAGAAAAATGTAGAAGGCCCAGGTTTATAGTTAGGTTCTATCAAAAACTGGTTAATAGTTATATTAAACTGTAACCCAACTTTTTTTAAGTTCAGGAACTTTTTTTTTTTTTTCAGACAGGGTCTTGCTCTGTTGTCTAGGCTGGAGGGCAGTGGCACAATCACCACTCATTATTGCCTCAAGCTCCTGGGCTCAAGTGATCCTCCCCACCTCAGCCTCCTGAGTAGCTGAGATTAGAGGCATGGACCACCACACTTGGTTAGTTTTTTAAATTTTTAGTAGACAAGGTCTCACTATGTTCCAGGCTAGTCTCAAACTCCTGGCCTCAAGCAATCCTCCTGCCTTGGACTCTCAGTGTTGAGATTATAGACATGAACCACTGATCCTGTCCTAAAGTTCAGGAGCTCCTGAAATACAAAATTTTGTTGTTGTTGTTGCTGTTGTTGTTGTTTTGTTTTGAGACAGTCTTGCCCTGTCGCCCAGGCTAGAGTGCAGTGGTACAATCTTGGCTCATTGCAACCTCCGCCTCACATGTTCAAGTGATTCTCCTGCCTCAGCCTCCTGAGTAGCTGAGATTGCAGACATACAACACCAAACTCAGCTAATTTTTATATTTTTAGTAGAGATGGGTTTCACCATGTTGGCCAGGATGGTCTTGAACTCTTGATCTCAGGTGATCCACCCGCTTCAGCCTCCCAAAGTGCTGGGATTACACTGCGCCTAGCTAGCCAAAACTGTTTTTTTAAAAAAGCTAAAAAATATTGGAATACAAGAAAAAATAATAGTGTTCACTGAACACACTCAAAAAAGATGATGCCTCAATTATTAAGATTATTATTTTGAGTAATTTATTTCAAAACTTGGACTTTTGAACAGGGGCAACTATGATAAAAAAAAGGTAGGCTATGTTTTGAAGTCTAATCTTCCACAGAAGATTGTACTCCCAAAACGTAACAAAGAAAACTGGCCCAAAGTACTTGCCTTCAGAGGCTTAGCTTTTGAAAAACAAACACAGAAATAGCTATTAGGCAATCAGTACACTCTCCTGTCACTTCATTTATCTTCCATAGAATCATGTTTTTTAAACTCTCATCCCTCACCTGTTCCAATATCCAGAATTATTATCAAAATCCTGAGGCACAATGTTAGAAAGGTAAAAGGTTTCAGCCATGGCTTTCTGTAAAGAAAGAAACATAGTAACTTGCACTGAAATGCTTTCTCCTTTACAAGATATTTTATTAAAAAGACATAGAAATATAGTTTCTTATTTATACATTAGTGCTAGGCAATTATTGACTACTTGTTTCAATAAATGAAAGCCGTAATTATTCTAGGACAGAAAGCTTTTATAATAATTATTCAAAATGAGGGCTATAAAGTAAGTAGTTAGGTAGGCTTAACTTTATCAATTATAAAATCCAAACCTATAATGTGAATTCTAAGAATTAAGTATTTCCAACACAAAACTTACAAGTAAATTCTGGTTTTAAGCCTCTGGCAAAGAGTTTCTCAATAAAGATCAATTTTCACAAATGTTATTTTAGTACGATATAAATACACTAGTTCAAAAGTGGCAAAGAAAATGTTCTTCTGAATATCGGACCACTATGTATTCATTCACTTCACATATGTGACTCAAATATACAAGGCTCTCCCTCATTGCATTTTCTTTATTGATCTATACTAACTGCCAATGCTACAAGTACCTTCTCTTCAAGCAGTCGCTCTCAATCTTGGGTGTACACTAGAATATTGAAAATATTGATATTGATGCCTGGGTCTCATCCCTGAGACTTTCCGATTTTATAAGTATGAGGTTCAGGTCTGGGCATCAGATTTGTGAAAACTTCTGCAGGTGATTATAATGAGTGTCCAAGGTTGGAATTACTATCTTAATGACATAATCACCAAGAGCGCACATAACAAATGTCAATGTCATAAAAGATACTCCTTCTCCTTTTTGGCAAGGAAATAATTTTAGGTTAAAGAAGACTAAAGAAATATGTCAACTAAATGTAATGTGTGATTCACGATTGGATCAAAAAAGCTATAAAGGACATAATTAGGATAACGTGGGAAAGCTGACTAAATTGTATTTTAGATAATATTACTGCACAAATATATAAAAATGTATTAGTGTACACTTCTGGGTATGACACATATATTATATTCATATATACAAATATACCTATTCTTAGATGATGCATACTCCTGAGCAAACTATTTAGAAATATAACACAGGCCAGGCACACTGGCTCACGCCTGTAATCCAAGCACTTTGGAGGCCAAGGTAGGCGGATCACCTGAGGTCGGGAGTTCAAGACCAGCCTGACGACATGGTGAAACCCCGTCTTTAATAAATAAATAAATAAATAAAACATTATGTCAGCAACTGTCAATGGTTGCAGAATTTACATATGTATCTGTAAAGTAAATGCATCAGTGTATTTGTTGTACTATATTTTTACCTTTTCTATAAATTTCTACAAATTTAAAATTTTTTGAAAATAAATTAGCCAGGCATGGTGGCATATGCCTGTGGTCCTAGTTACTCAGGAAGCTGAGGCAAGAGGATCATATAAGCCTGAGTTAAAACATACAGCAAGCTATAATTTCACCACTGTACTCCAGCCTAGGCATCAAAGCGAGACCATCTCTAATTACTAATTAAAAATAAGTAAGTGGCTGGACACAGTGGCTCACGCCTGTAATCCCAGCACTTTGGGAAGCCAAGGTGGGCGGATCACTTGAGGTCAGGGAGTTTGAGAGCAGCCTGGCCAAGACGGTGAAACCCTGTCTTCACTAAAAATACAAAAATTAGCTGAGCATGGTATTACAGGCACACCTGTAATCCCAGCTTCTCAGGAGGCTGAGGCACGAGAATCGCTTGAACCTGGGAGGTGGAGGTTGCAGTGAGCCAAGATTGTGCCACTGCATTCCAGCCTGGGTGACAGAGTGAGACTCCGTCTCAAAAAAAAAAAAGGAAGTAGCTTCAGCTCCCAGTGGCTTTCCAGTTCCCTTCATATAGCACTTAGTTTTCCTCATTCAACCTGTTTAAAAATGTCTCCGCATGTGACTGAAAGAAGAGAAATAAAGTCAGGAAGAAAAATAAGAGTATGGAAATTCTCCAGCTTTAAGGTTTGGCTCCTAGGTTTTTCATCTCTAATTCCTGTTGTAGGCACATGATCAGCCCCATATTCCCATCCTTCCCCCAAAGTATGCCTACACTTGAAAATTTGTTATTTCCTGCTGGAGCCATGTGTCCTCGTGACCACCCACTTCCAACATAATCCTCGTTGAAGGCACTGAAGGTTGGAGGGATACTGGGATCTGGCTTAAATTTACAGTGCTTTCTGTCTGCATCACCTGAAGAAAAACACACAAAATGGGTACATTATCAGTAAACGAATATCCCTCAAGATTCTCTAAGCAAGGCAAGCTGGTTGCTACTGGCTGGCATCTCTCCAAGCGGCTAGTATTAGGGACTGCATGCATGTCTCAAGTTCCTGGGATAGTTCAGATACTTCATCTGAATTTAGAAAGTACTAGTCTAGGAAAGAATGCTTTTCATATAGTGTAGCTATCTCATATAATTTTGACTCTGGCCTTTCCAGTTAAAGAAGAACTCCTCTGAATTGCATTTAAGTAAAAAAAATCACCAAAATGCTAAACTATGTAAAAAGCTTGGCTACTAAATAAACTCTTATTTTTTTTAACAAGACACCCATGTATTGTATTTTGTAGAACTGCATTTGATAAGTTTGTGTGTTCTGAAATAATGGATATATATAGACACAAAACAATTTATTCCAGGCAGACGCAGCCTTGGGAAGAGGCGTGTCTCTGATATCTTGCTTACTGCCTCTTAAGCCATGACAAAATAAACATTTAAGTTATGAGCTCCACCCAGAAATTGCTAAAACAGAATATTTGAGTACCACTTAGGAGAAAAGAAATCTCAGATTTTGTTTACTTTCTGACACCTCCAGAATGGCTTGCCGCAGAAAACGTTAGCCAATCCTAACACTAACTATTGCACTACCATGAGGTAAGATCTTCTTAAACTACAAAAATTATGAGAACAAATGAAGCATACTCAGACTGCTACTCGAAGAAGTGTAAAGTAGAGAGAAGTGAAGTCACTGATTCCAAGGTGATTTCATTCAGCCTAGAAAAATTTACTGTCAGATCCCAAAGTTCACAGTAAAGCATCAAAAATGTAGCTTTTTACAATCACTTTATACAGAATAATATAGAAAAATTATCATTAGTAAATTTCTTAGTGTCATTACCATTGGAATCATTTCCTTCTACACCTAGTTATCTTTGCCTGGTGCTCAATACCCTTGAAAAACTCTTTCTAAGAATTTCCAAAGGCCTAAGAAGATACCTTCCTTGAGAAAAGATGTAAATTTACGGCTGTAAGGTGTCTAGCAACATTACCAGTGGAGAACATATTAAACCAAGCTCAGGGATTAAGGTTCCCTGATCTCTACTCGATGCACAGGTTTGGGCTGTAAGTCTGCATGACAGCCAGTTTTTGACCTAACCTTCTCTGGAACACTTTTTATCTTCCTTTTGGCCTTTCTCTGCTCAGTGCCAAGACAACCTTCCCGTAGTACATGGGCAGGGAAGTTAGTTCTAGTTTCCTCTTCCCTGAGGGTGTCGTCCTTTAGAGTTCCAGGGTAACATGGCAGGGGCTCCTACACTGCAGGACCTACAGAACAGCCTTCCTTGGATGAGCCTTAGGTCTTTTCTTCAATCCTCCTCACCCCATAATGTTGTGAATTCAAAAGCAAATGTGGTTTTGGTTTGCCAGGACTGCGCTTACACCTTTTTGGAGTCTGGCTTTCTCCCACAAACGCTGGCCTGACAATTCACCACTATGCTGCTGGCTCTTCATTTTTCTTAAGTGATTTTTTTTTTTAAAGATACACTTTTAGTTGGGCACAGTGGCACATGCCTGTAATCCCCGCTACTCAGGAGGCTAAATTCAGGAGGGAGACTTGAACCCAGATATTTAAGAGTAGCCTGGGCAACATATGCAAAACCCCATCACTAAAAAAAAAGTTAAAATATATATATATATACTTTTTATATACTAACATTTTCAGTTTTCAGCAGGAAGAGTCTGTCTGAATAACTCAGTCCATCATTACTGAAAATAGGCCTTTTACATTAAAATCAAGTAAAACACAGGTATATTGCTTCCTATTTTCAAATTATATTAACTGGCTCTATTTTATCGCCTCAAAGGTATACAGCTCACAAGATTTATTATACAATATAAAATGCACAGCTTTTTTTATACACTTGATAGTTTTCACTTGCATCAGTTTCTCCGTAGCAGCAAGCACATTCCAAGCCTCCTGTTATTCTGCTGGTTGCTGTGCACTCTAGGACGGCACACACTCACTTTAACATCAGCATTTTAAGATGCATAGCCATAGCACACATTTTAAAGCAAAGGAGAGTATGTGCAACACACAGCAAATTAAAAAGCAAGTAATGAAAGGGAACAAAACAACTATGACAAAAGGTAATATCCTTAACCTAAGAGCTTCTACAAATAAATTCAACCCCCTGCCTAAGTAATTTCCATTCACTCTTCAGTCCACTTCTTCAGAGAAGCCTTACTAATCAAAAGCAGGTTCTCCTGTTATAATGTCTCATCACACTTTTTTTTTGAGACACGGTCTCCCTCTGTTGCCTAGGCTGGAGTGTGATGCTATGATCTTGGCTCATTGCAACCCCCATCTCCTGGGCTCAAGAGATCCTCCCATCTCAGTCCCCCAGGTAGCTGGGACTACAGGAGTACACCACCATGGCCAGCTAATTTTTGTATTTTTTGTAGAAACAGGGTTTCGCCATGTTGGCCAGGCTGGTCTCAAACTCCAGAGCTGAAACGCCTCAGCCTCCCAAAGTACTGGGATTACAGGTGTGAACCACTGCTCCCAGCCACTTATCCAACTTTTTACTGTTCCTTAATTATACTATACTAACTTGCAATCACTTCCTTTGAAAAAATTATTATAATTATACATCCATAATTATCTGTTTCATAGGTCAACCCACTCTCCCACCTCAAAGTGTCATGGGAGTAGAGATCCTCTGGTCACACATATGTCCCCAAGGGTTGTCACAGTGACAGACACATAGCAGGCACATAAATATTTGTTAAGGTAAAACTGAATGGTGCTCATTGCTACAATATTTATGACCTCCCAACTAGTGTGTCAAGATAATGGATATTTTCATCCTTGAGACAGCTGGAAAGGGTCTGGCTTTCTGGCTGCCAGGCAGAGTTGATTTAACCAGTAAGCCATTTAAATACAATTTTCTACACGTGCTATGATATGAAAAAGGTTGTGAATATTAATAATCACCACTGTTTCAAATTTGGAGACATCTTTTGTAAATACTGTTACTTCAATTTTTTTATATAGCCACCTACCCATTATCTTGCTTTTGGAAATATGTTCAAGAACCCATCGAGGCACCCGCTTTGCCTGGTCATAAGACAGAGCGTGATTAGTGTAACACCTTGTCTCTGTTCCAGTTAAAGGGAACCCAAATTGTTCCAAGACAGCCTTTTCCGCAGATCCTAAGAACGGGGAAAAAAAAAAAAAAAAAGGGCAGAGACAAAGAAAAAAACAGCAACAATTAATGGCTCTTAAGAATGAAAAATTCCAAGGAAAAGGAGAACGGTGTGATTTACAAAGGACCGGCTCAGGAGTCTAACCAACCAGAACACCTCATTTTGCAATGACATGAGACAAAGAAAACAGACAGTCCGGCAAAGTACTGATTTGCCTATAATCAGTGGATAAACTGCAGCCACTGCATTAGCTTCTGAATAAAAACTTGATTTTACTGGGCTTTCACATCAAATTTCCAAATCATCTCTAAAGCACTGACATGCGTCCCGTTGCAAGATAACAGTAAAACTGGTACTGTTTTTCCTAGTGGGAGACACCAAGCACACACTCAATAGTGAGTCAGTTTTGAGACAATCCTCCTCTGATGCCTCCTCAAATCCTCAACCTACCAGAGTAGTTCTCTTGCTAGATGCCAAGTATCCAAAGGAGCAAGTTAAATGAGCACGTCGTCAAAGTGCAAGAAATCAGCGCGTGTTAATTTTTTTTGGTCAAATATAAGGTACCCATTGCAACATGAGGATTTATACACTTTGAAGGGGTAACAGGTATGCTTCAACTGAACAACACGAAAGAAAGGCAGTTAATTAATCTGCTAAAACGATGTGTTAATTCATTCCTTCATCCACACTTACTGAACGCCCATTATGTACCAGGAACTGTGCCGGTTAGATGATGGTGGCCAAAACAGACACAGCCTCCAGCCTTCCGGAGCTAGCAATCTTAGTGGAGGCCACAGACATTAAAACATAGATACCGCGATGAATAATTTAGGGGAAGAAGGTGGGGGAGGAGGGTCCTGTGCAGAAAACGAAGATGCCCGGGGGAAGGAAAGACGTGAGGGAGGCAGGCGTGACGCGAGGTGGGGAGGGGAGGCCGAGCCGGGAGAATAAAAAGGTCGAAACCAAGCGCCGGTCTCGGGGCCCAGACAACCGGGAAGGCTGCGCGTTAAGGTCGCCATTCATACCCCAGGTAAGAGTCGGAGCCCGAAACCTCGGCCAGGGCAGGGAGGGCGGGCCCACAGACTTACCATCCGGCTCCTTCCCTGCCAACGCTGCCTCAGCGCCCTGACTCCGGAAGAACTGCAGGGCCGCGAGCCCAGCTCCCGCAACGCCCACTACAGCCCCGGCCACGAAGCCGCTCAGAAAACGTCTGGAGCCCCGGAGGCGGGAAGCGATACTCTTAGCAGCCATCTTGCTCGAGGTGGCGGCCTTTCACCACGGCGCATGCGCGCGCAGACACGCCCCCCCCAGCCCCTGCCAAGCTGAGGGCCTCGCGCGCCCCCTGGTGACACACCGGGGCGCCCTTGGCGCACCTGCGCTTCATTCCCGGTCCACCGGACGATGGATGGGAGTGTGATGTTTTGAGGGCTTAGTGGTGTGCTGTATATAGTCTTGATTAGAAAATGCCTTTAGTCCCATTTAATAGGTGAGTAAACACTTGCACATGGTTGCACTGAGGTCTCCAGAGCCTATATTCCCACTCAGCTCTATTTATTTATTATTTATTTAGAGACAGGGTCTCTGTTACCCAGGCTGCAGAACAGTGGGATGATCATAGCTCACTGCGATCTCGAAATCCTGGGCTTAAGCCAGCCCCTCAGCCTCCTGAGTAGCTGGGACTACAGGCTTGTGCCACATTGCATGGCTAATTTTTTTTGGTGGGGGTCAGCAAGCAGTAGAGAAGGGGGTCTCCTTATGTTGCCCAGGCTGGTATCCAACTTCTGGCCTCAAGCAATCCTCCTGCCTCAGCCTCCCAAAGTGCTGTAATTTCAGGTGTGAGCCACTACGCCCAGCCTTCTCTTTTAAGTGAGAATAATAATACTTAGACCATAGCGTTCTTGTGTGGATTAAAGGAGATGACACATGCAAAATGTTTAGGGCAATACCGGGGCATGTCATTAAGTGCTCTATAAATGTTACAAATTTTTAAGTCATCTTTACTGTTTGTCGTGGTAGAATATAAAATCCAGATTGCTGAATGCCTCATGGCAAAGAAAGGATAGATGCATTTCATGGACTACCACTCACAAATGAGTGAGTCTTCATTTTGCAGCACCATCTCCAGCATTCTGTGTGGATGTACTTCTTAGCAGAACCTTCAAGTTTCCTATTTCTCAGGTCACTGGTAGGAGTATGTTTCATCTGATCCCACTGATGATTCACTGAGCAGGAGGCCTCTTCTAACAACCTACTCACATGCACACATTATTTTGACAGCCTCAAATGGGAGGCTACCCCCTGCCAGGAATACCTCTTGTGAGGGACTCTGACTGTTACATCAACCAGAGCCCTTCCTAGGGAATTTGGATCTGGTACTCTCTCCGGGGAGCAAAGCTGTGACATGAAACCCTGGGACTGGGCCAGGCGCAGTGGCTCACGCCTATAATCAATTCCACCACTTTGGGAGGCTGAGACTGGCAGATCACTTGAGGTCAGGAGTTTGAGACCAGCCTGGCCAACATGGTGAAACCCCGTCTTTACTAAAAATACAAAAATTAGCCGGTGTGGTGGCGGGCGCCTGTAATCCCAGCTACTTGGGAGGCTGAGGCAGAATTGCTTGAACCCAGGAGGCGGAGGTTGCAGTGAGCTGAGATCACACCACTGCACTCCAGTCTGGGCGATAGAGTGAGACACTGTGTCAAAAGAAAGAAAAAGAGAAAGGGAGGGAGGGAGGAGAAAAAGCAAGCAGCTCTGGCACTGTCTACAGCCTTGTTTCCTGCTAAGTAGTCAAAGGAGCAGGTACATCTGGCCTTGCGCTGAGCAACAATGGAAGCAATACTGGACGCAGGTGAAGGCCTGTAATGCTGTGACCCCAGCTCCCAAGGCTCCCGAAGACCACATGTATCCTGCCTTTTGAAGGCTTAGCTAGCCATTTCCCCCAAGATCCTTTCAGTGAAACCCCCTTATCTGTCACCTGCAACCGAGTCCTGACAAATACAACGAGACAACACTGGTATCTGTAGGCTTCAAGGCTGCTTCAGCAGCTTTTCCCCGAATTTACTAAATACACAATCACTGAAGTACCGTATTTCTCAAAGCCCTTGTCAGTGCCAGACAGTGTTAAATACTAGAGAGATAAACGGTAGATGGCTTTTCCTAATCTAGATCCACTACTTCCAAACAGTGTAACCCCACATTTGGTCCCACTGGAAGGGCTGCCTGTCTCTAGGGAGGAAAACTCCCTCTGGGCCTGTTTGCCCACCTGTAAAATTGAAATTGGGCCAGTGATTTGTAAACTTTAATTAGGGTTCCCGGGTGTTCCTTAGGAAGGGCAAGTGAAATGGCCCTTTAGCTGTCTTCTACTTGCTCATTCAGACAAGCCTGGTTTTATAAACCAACACCTGTGCCAAATTTCTCTTGGTGAAAAAATTCCTTTGCTAAAGGCAAAGTTTGACCAGATGACTCCTAAGGTCCAACCTTTCCGCTTTTCCAGCTCCAAGATCCTGTGTCAAAAATGTCGGCCCTTTGCCCTCCTTCCTTGGGGACACTCACTAATAAAAGGTGAACTTACTAAATGTGAAAGAGCAAAAACAACCAAATGTTGGGCAACTGGTCCCTGAATAAACCTTTCTTCAAAAGCTTCAAGCAGTTGCTTAATTCTCATAATAAAGGGTGAATTAAAAGGGTGTTTCGCCACTTAGGCGAATACAAGTTATGGACCAAAACAACTTGTTAAGCACAGAAAGCAGTGAGGTGATTTCTGGAGCCTTCCCGTTTTGTTAGTTAGGTATTAAAGACTCATTATTTTATTATTGGGGAACCATTTCATTCATTCAGTGAGATTAAGTCTGGATCTCTGAAACCTGGGACCTGGTTTGCTGATTCCAGGTTGGGGATAAGGACCCATATTTGATAGCTTAGCAAATGACTCCAGTACTCAGCAACATTTGGGAATGGCAGAGCTTGTCATCTGCAATAGTCCTGAATAAAACTTATTTTCAAGGTTTCTCTGCTCCACTTAAAACAATATTGCTCAGGGTGGTCTGTAAAGTATAGGTCTGGTTGCAAAGGACAGGGGAACAGGGGAGTGTCTTGGACATTTGGAAAATATGCTACCCTGCAGAAACTTACCCAAAATCCTGGAACAGTTCCTACAGGGGAATGGTCCCCATTCATAATAACCCCAACTAGGCCCTGGACTTCTGAATGGCAGAAATGGAGACCCGTGGTGCTTAGCTCCAGCCCCACAGGACCATGGCAGGCTAGGCATTCGGCCATTAGCATCTGTTAATGTTACACACACACCAAACAGGAACTGACTTGAGTCAGCCCTACAAGCAGGGGAACACCATTTTATTTCCGATTCCCATGAAACTCCAGTCCCCTGCCACGTAATTGAGAGAGACAAGGATTGTTTTATTATTTTATTTTCATATACAAAAAGATAAAACTTGAAATAGTTCTAGATTTTTCCTCCTATTGTTGGGGCGTGACTGCTTCTTCACACAGGGGGAAAAAACTACATTCACATCGGTTTATTTGAGGACCCAGTGCAGAGTTTAAGCAGCAAAACCCCAACTTGGCAGATCTAATTTCAAACTTGACACTCATTTCTAAAATTACCACAGTAAAAAGGAACAAAGATCCACTGCAAATGAATGAACTATGATACAATGTTCTTTCCAAAATGTTTTCATTTTGCAACTGTAATTACATGGATGTCTGCTTTAGGCCATTTTAGAGTGTGTGTGTGTGTGTGTGTGTGTGTGTCTGTGTGTGTGTGTGTGTGTGTAATATATATATATATATATATATATAAATCAGCACACTTTTCAAATCCAGACAGGGTAACAGCAACAAGCTTAACTCTGTATATATATATTTTTTAAAACATGAACTTTAGTATAACTTTTGTTAATTCAGTAGTACAAGCTATTTCTGTTCTACAAAATTTTTATTTTATAGCTACAAGGGTGAAAAGTGACCTACTACATTTACATCTCACATATCCTGGTATGCAAACAGTACTTATTGAATTTGAGCCAAAAACTAGAAGTCTTTAGTTTTAGCACTTGAAAGAGCTTCCTTGCTTCTACAGCCTTAAATCATATACTAGTCACATTTCCAGAGTTTGCAATTACTCATCATTTTAAACTGTGAGAAACAGGTGAACCCAAACTTTTAATTACAATTTTTATATACAAGTTAGGTAACACAGCTCAATAAGACTTAGCTATCCATCCTAAGCCCGACACACACATCCTCCACTAGGTTAGACAAGTCTTAGGGTTTTCCTTCTTTCCCTTACAAATAATGTACAAATTTAGAAGTAGCTGGTAAAACTGATATATATATAAGATGGCAAATAAAAGGTGATGTTTTCTGTTGTTCCAAAACTGTTCCTGCAAATTTTGTACTCTGCTGTGTTCTTTAACTGTATGTGTGTTACATGCAGAAAGCTCTTTTCGTAAGAATTGACATCAAACTCGATGTAAGTTAAATTTACAGTACTGTATATTCAGATTCAAGGACAAATGTGGAAAAATATTAACAGGTGAAAAATTTGGCCTTTGACACTACCATTAAGATCATGTCAAGTTCATAAGCAGATTCTTCTGTACAGTTGAAAAATGGCATTGTTGTGGATTTGTGGTGTGGAACTGAAATCTAGAAATATGTTTCTACTCTGCGGTAACCCTCTCCCTCAATTCTGAAGTACCACTCAACTTTCTCTGCATTTTTACAGAATTAGAGAAAAAAAAGGAAAAAAGCCGCTGGCATTTTAAAAATTCCTTCCCTCACTGGCAGTCTTAACATTTTCAGATGAGGTCTCCCAAAGAATCTCTAATAATCACTTGCTTCCAGACGGCCTTTCATGATGACTTGGACACTTTTCAAATTAAAAGATGTTGCCTAATCTTTCCTACTCTCATCTCTGTCATTGTTGGTAAAATTTGGGTGATTGCATTTTTCCCTTATGGAGAAATTATTTGGCTAAACACACATTTAACTTGCAGCAGTGCTCTGAGAAAACCCCACTCGGGCTAAAGCACTTGCAGGGACTGAGGTCAACAGTCCACGGAATGGGGCAGAGACCAAACACTTAAGAGCACTGACTTGGGCCCCTCACTGGGAACACACTGACCCTGTGTCCCGTGGTCTGTGGAACAGCAGGTCTGCAGGACAGCAGGACAGTCCAGGAAGGTACCCCATGCTCGTATGGCTGAGTTACCACTTTTAATCTTGGTCTGCCATCTATGCCCCAGAGACAAAAATTCAGATGTGGTGACTGCTGGTTAATTAAACTTTTTGAA